GCCAGGCATGGTGGCCTATGCCTGTAATCCTAACTCTCAGGAGAGGAGGATCATTGCAGGTTCAAGGCCAACCTAACCTGCATAGCAACACCGTATGACACACACACACAAAAAAGGCCAGAAAGGTGGCACACACCAATAATCCCAGCACTCAGGAAGCTGAGGCAAGAGGATCACTGTGAGTTCCAGGCCAGCCTAGACTACAAAATGAGTTCAAGGCTAGCCTGAACTGAAGAGTGAAACTTTGTCTCAAAAAGACCAAAAAAAAAAAAAGAAGAAGGAGGAAGAAAAGAATGTATAAATTCATGCTCAGAACAGTGCCTGACAGACTAAACACAACCTCAATCAACAAAGATCAAAAGAAAGCTGAGTATGGTAGCACACACCTGTAATCCCAGCATTTGGGAGGCTGAGACCAGCCTGGACTACACAGTGAGTTTAAAGTCAGCCTAAACTACATAGCAAGATCTTGTCTCAAAAAAAAAAAAAAAAATCTAACCTGCATTTCAAAAGAAACTGACGAACTTGGGAATGGTGACACACAGCTGCATCCCAGCACTCTGGAAGGCTGAGCAGGAAGGCTGCAAATTCAAGCACAGCCTGAGCAATTTAGTGAAACCTCATCTCAAACAGTCAATAAATCCAATCATTGGGGAAGTAGCTCAGTGTAAGGCCCAGGGTCCAATCCCTACTACTATTTAAAAAAAAAAAAAAAAAAAAGGTCACATGCACATGCTGCCCTACTTCAAATTCTGTAAAGGGCCCTGCCCTGCATCAGAAGAAAGAACCAAAGTGGCTTGGTACTGTCCTCAGGGGTAAAATTACCTCCCTCCCAAAAGTTCTATCTGGTGCACTCCTCATACCCAAGTATGGTTCAAAGTCAGGGACTAAACAGAAAGAATACAGCCCAAAACCAGAGAAGCCCCTACCTCTGGCAAGTACCAGCCAAACATCTGTTCCTGGCACCCTCAGGATGGTCACTGGGTGAAGTGTGCAAATGTATACATGGCAGCACACAAGTTAAAACAACTGACCCAAGGAAATGAAAGAATAACTGTTCCTTTTTCCAGAGCCACCCCTACTCCAACTCAGACCAAAGCATGAGGTCTGCTATGAGGCCCTCCCTTGCTTCAGAGGTAGAGATGGCCACCTCTACTGCCTGCCTCTGGGCTCCCACACTCAGAAGTACTCAATATATACGTGTCCTGACTAACCCAGCCTCTGCTTCCACATTCAACACTCAACTGGGATAGGTGTGTTCTCTTGACCTGAACATCCCTAGTGATGGGCAGGCAGCAGCAAGCACCGGCATATACTTTCTCAACTGCTCTGGCCACACTGACAAGGAAAAAGGAGTTAGGGAATCAGTGATCTCTGTGACCTAGGAAAGAGATACCGGACCTGGAACCAGAACCACCCCAAAGAAGACAGGCAATGATGTGTGACTGAGCCCAGCAACCTAATCTGCAAAACTAGGATCCAGAAACTAAAAAAGGATGACATTTCACCTCTCTACAGGTGCATTCATGTTTACAATGAATTTAACCCATGAAAATGCAAGAATCCATTGACTCTGATGCCCAAGAGCCTATATAGTACCCACTCCACAGGTAACCCTTTTTCTGTTCCTACAAGAGCCACTCCAAAAAATAATAAAATAAAGCCACTCTACAAAGAGTCCCATGCTGCACTGAGAACTCATAAGCTTCGAGCAACCAGCTACATCAGAGAGCCCAGGGAGCCATCACTGAGTCTGTCCAAGTTAAATGTGGTAGCTGGGGCTAGACCCTCAGGTAGACATGGACGAAGCAGATGACAAAGGCACAAAGCAGAGAAGGGTGGCATGTCTAGGGTGGGACCCTGACTAGGTGTTATGGTTTGTGTCTGCATGTCCCCCCAAATCCTCATGCAATCATGGGGTGGGTTTTTAGAGTTTATGATTGATTCAAGGTCCAATGTTGGAATTATGGATGTGAGCGCTACACTTGTCTTGGGGCGGAGAGTTTGCATACAACGTAAGGGAGGGAAAGAGGTTGCTTCCCTCTGCTACTCCTCCCTTTGGTTCTTGCTGCTTTTGCTATCTCCTGCCCCCATGAACTGTTGACCCTGCCATGTGCCACTGTGCCTTGGAGCCAGCTGAGTATGGACTGAAACCTCCACAAACTGTGAGCTAAATAAACCTTTCCTTCCTTAATTTTGGGCACTGGCTATCTTGTCTCAGCAACAAAAGTAACCAAGACAGAATTTGGTACTAGGACTGGGGTCATTGCTGTCACTAAACCTGACCATATGGTTCAAGGGCCTTTGGAAATGGTCTCTGGGAAGTGCTTGTAAAGGTTCAGAGATGTTGCCTGAAAGAGTAAAGCTGGAACACCTTCAGCTGTTCTGTACGGGAGATTCTGGTCAGAGCTCAGAAGACCAGAAAGCTGATAGAAAACCTGCCAGTAAAGACTGGGTTCAGGAGGTTTCTGCTGCAAAGGACCGCGTTGGTTGCTGAACTCCAGGTGATGTGTGTTACTGTTTGGCACAAAGTTTGCCTGCATTTTGCTCATGTCCAGAGACTGCCTGACATTGAGATTAAGGGTGGCAGACTGATTCATCTGGCAAAAGAAATTTCAAGGCAGTCAAATGTTGGGGCAGTGGCATGGCTGTTGTTAAGGGCTTTTAGCCAGGTTTATGTTGAGAATCAAGAGCAAAGAGCCCAGCAGGATGATTTAAAATGTTGTGAGCTTGGCCAGAAAGGAAGCTCCAGTAAAGCTGTGGACTGCAAAGATACAGCTGAGGAGATCTTGATTGCTGAGGAACAAGAAAATATAAAAGATGCCCTGAGGGCAATCACAAGAAGCAAGTCTCCACCCTTTGCAGCCTCAAAACTGCAAAGGTGAAAGACTTTGCTTTGAGAAGAAAGCCACAGAGCACCATGTTCCAGAATGGCTGCAGCATACCAAATTTGCTCCTTAGAATTGGATTCAGACTGCCCAGCAATCCAGGCAATCGACCCCTATGGCCAAGAGAGAGGAAAGCTTGGCTACTGCTCCAGGTGGCAGCAGACCTTGACATCACCCACATGGCCCTGGATTTAGGCACATACAAGCCCTCTGGAGCTCACAATGTGCCACAGATTGCTTCAGATGCTGCACATGGAACTACACGACATAATGTTAGCCCTGCTGGATTTTAGACTTGATTTGGTCCCAGTGCTCTGTATCCCCGTTTGTACCTTTTGGAATGGTAACAATTATTTTGTGCCATTGAATGTTGGAAATGTTTAACTTTTCATTTGTGCAGGGTCTCACAGTTAAAAGTTCGCCTTAAATCTCAAAGGATACTTGGGACTTGAACTCATCAGCAACGCTGAAACTGTTAGGACTCTGGCAACTCTCACAGACGGACTAAATGCAGTTTTTTGGTTGGTTGGTTGGCTGGACATTTTTGGTAATGGGAATCAAACGCAGGACCTTGAGCTTGCCAGGCAGGCGCTTGTGCCACTGAGCTATATCCCCGGCCCCCTAAATGCTGTTTGTATAAAGGGATGCGTATATGAGTCTTTGGGGGACTAGGGTGGAATTTTATGGTTTGTGTCTACACAGCCCCCCCCAAATCCTCATGCAGTCATGGGGCTGGCTTTTAGAGTTTATGATTGATTCATGGTCCAATGTTAGAATTATGGATGTGAATGCACACTCGCCCTGGGGCGGACAGTTTGCATACAATGTAAAGCAGGAAAAGAGGCTGCTTCCCTCTGCTACTCCTCCCTTTGGTTCTTGCTGCTTTTGCTATCTCCCACCCCCCATGAACTGCTGACCCTGCCATGTGCCACTGTGCCTTGGAGCCAGGTGAGTATGGACTGAAACCTCCACAAACTGTGAGCTAAATAAACCTTTCCTTCCTTAATTTTGGGCATTGGGTATCTTGCCTCAGCAATGAGAGAGAAGTAACCAAGACACTAGGGCACCTCAAAGGAGTGAACACCTCTGTGCTGCCACACCCAGCACTGATGTCACTCACAGATGGTCCTGGGCACTTCTGCCCTCATAAAAACCTTCTTATGCTAAAAAATACTTAAAATCATACTTTCCACTGCACTGGCTTAAACATGACTATATTAATATTCATACATTTTCTTTCACCTAAAAGTTAGTTCTTTTCCTGTCAATTGTAAAAAATTTGGCAGACCCTAAAGTACAGTCCCCTGAAACACTGGGTTTCCTGTGCCTGATGGATAAACCAGCCCTGATTCAATAAGGTGTTCTAGGTGCAGTTCAGGAGTAGCCAAAATAGGTAGAAAAGGCCTTTCTGGTCGTTATGGTTCTCATTCCTTCCACAGACATATACACACGCTCCAAGGGAAGTTCCAAAAGCATTTAATCAAACCACATAGCAGGGCTGCTAAGTGCTCGGCACCGCTGCACACCGGGCTTGGAGGACCCCTAGGATCTGTCTAGGCCGGGTATAAACTGAGGACTTCTCTGGGTCAGCGCCTAGGGAGGCGACAACATGCCACCCAGCCACTGACAGTCCAGGGCCGCCAGGCTGGCACGAGGCCGCAATCAGGCTACGCCTGTGAATCCAGGCGCCTCCGCGAGCTGCTCCGCCCGAAACCCACCAGTCCCTCCCCGAAACCCGGCCCGCAGACCACAGCCGGAGGTGCAGCTCCTGGCCAGAGGCTCTCAAGACTACAAAGCTGCCGCCGCAGTGAGTCGAGGCGACACCTTGGAGGGCAAACGCGAGGCGCTCTGGTCCGCCCCTGCTCGCGCCCAGTCGGGGGATGCCCGACGGTCCTCACCCGCCCCTCCGCGACTCGCAGCCCCAGCGAGAGATCTGGGACCGCGGAAGAAGGCCCCGGGCGACCCG